CTATTATATGCCCTTCGTAAATTAGGTTGGACATCATTTCCTCTTCCATCATATGAAGCACGCTGCATGCTTATAAACATACAAACATTAAAAAAGCGTCGTGAATATGCAATGGTTTCGTTTGTAAACGATATCGTTTCGCAGCGCATTAACTCAGCAGAACTTTTATCAAAATTAAATTTTTATGTACCTACTCGACAACTCAGAAATCGAAATTTATTTGCCGTAACCCATCATCGCACAAATTATGCAAAATTTGGGCCATTAAATCGCATGATGGCGTCTTACAATCAATACTGCGAAACCATTGACTTTTCAATGTCTCGGCATAAACTAAAACAATATTTTAACTCCATACGGAATCATAACTCGTAGGAAGTAAAAATATAATAGCTGACAATATATTTTTTAATATTCTTAAGAAAAACAAATTTGTATATGTATTTGTACTAGTCTACATCGGTTGATGAAATAAATAAATAAATAAATAAATAAATAAACAATGGAAAACGCCACTAACGCAACAACTGATCAAGCATCGCGTAAACAAACATACAGATTTTATTTCTGATGTTAATTCTCCAGCAGAATTTCTCTCACTATTCTCGACTTCAGCTCCAGATCATCAGCTCAGAACCGGATCCGGAGCTGAATGGTGAAGAATCGAGAGGGAAAAAACGGGTCCTAGAGCTGGACGGGTCCGAGAGTTGTCATCCTAAACAGCTCCCAGTGAATCATTCGAGTCGATGATTCGGATCCGGAGCCGAACTGGAGAGCTGCATTTCGATTTACGGTTATTTGCTTTTGTGCGGATCTTCCACTCCCCCATAGAATGATGGGAGGAGAGGTGAGAGCACATATGCTCGAGGAATAACATCAGCAACAAGAGCCCGGTACATCAATAATACCAGTAGAAAATTAACATCGTGTAGCACATGTACCTACATATGTCTCTCTCTCCCAAACAGCCGATTGGAAGTTTGCTTTTACCGTTGGTGCTGTCGATCAGTAGACACATGTTGTATTGCGCGCGCGTCTTGGTTTACGCGGTCCATTTTTGAAAAGTTCCGCTATGAGTGATGGATTGAATGGTTTAGACTTGTGATAGTCAGTGAGCTGATGAACTGCGGTTCCTAAAAAATGAACCATGGGTCATCAGCTCACTTTAAAGAATCGGGTCTATAGAACAGCTCGGAACAGAGACCGACGTTAAATAAATGAATGAAGAGTATAGCACATTGTTCCATGCTATGGAACTAACATCCAAATTTTTTAATCCTGATGAATGTGGGCGTCTTAGTGGAATACCTGTATAATGAGAGGGAGAGAAGGATTAGTAATTTCCATTTAATTCCACTACCTTATTTGCTTATCCTTGACAGATACGCGTATTTCGCCTACAATGTACAAAATTCTTCAGTGTCTTGTACTAAGTCGAGTCGACTATTAGTACAAGACACTGAATAAGTCTGTACATTGTAGACGAAATACGCGTATCGGTCAAGGATAAGCAAATAAGGTAGTGGAATTAAATGGAAATTACTAATCCTTCTCTCTCTCTCTTTTTTACAAATTGTTGTTTTTGTTCACATTGGGTTTGGAACTGTTTATGATGGAATGAGCTTTTCTCGTGCTAATTTTGAGCTCTCTTTGTGATGTTTCTGTGCGCTCCTACCCACATTGCACGCTTCTCAAATTATTTCATGCTCTCTTTGGTCTCTTGCTCTCGGCAAAAATCGAGTGCAGGAGACTTTATAACGCATATCACAACCATTTTTTGAGCTGTGCGCGTGCATCCTAACGACTCCTGCTGATTAAAGACTGTACTCGAAAAAAAATCATACACATTGATTAGTTTGTAACTTTTTAGCGTGTGGGTAAAAATTGATGAAATTTTGACTAAGAGTGTAATGTCTACACTTGAATTTCATCACTATCTGTCAAGTGGCTATCGAGATGACATCGAAGCAAGAGTAGATCCGCCAAAAAATCTTGTGCACCGTCATCGAAAATCCGATTGCGTCCCACAGATGGATCGGGAAACACCTGGGAATCCATCATTTGACGATTTCCCCGGGGTGATGACGTCATTCAAGGAGACCCAGACCAGGCTGATGTAGAAAAACTGAAGACAGCTGACCCGGTGGGGACCTCCCTTAGCTCAGTCGGATTCCCGGTCCGGTCTAGGAATTTTTCGGGTTGGAAAATGTCTCGACTTCCCTGGGCATAGAAGTATGATTGGACTTGCCACTATCAATGAAAAATGGTACAGGCATCGAAAGCTCTCAATTAATAACTGTGGAAGTGCATCTAGAACACTAAGTTGAGAGCACGCAATAAGCTAATATGCGATATGCAATAAGCTTGAAATGAGAAAGCTGAAAAAGCTGAGCCGGTGAAGGCCAGGATATTGTTATCCGCGATGCGACGAAGAAGGTGGATGTTTCCATCTGGTTTGTCCAAAAAACGTTTAAAAGTGCCGCCATCCACGTCTATAAGCTCCGGAAGGCACCGAACCGGAATGACAAACAAAACACGGTGGCCATAACCCGGGCCAGGAAGCTGTACCGGGAGTGACTGACGAAACCGAGGTACTTCTTGTTGGGCGACGAGACTTACATAAAGGCGGACACAAAGTAGTTGCCAGGGCAGGAGTTTTACGTTGCCACATCACGGTTGAAGAAGAAGATGGACAAATTCGCCAAAAAGTTCATGGTTCATGGTGGTAGGCTATCTGCCGGTGCCATCAACAGGCAAATCTGCCGGGACGGGTGCCTCCGGAAGAGCATCCTACCGAGACGCTGTTTTGGCCGGATTTGGCATCCTGCCACTACGCGTGGCCGGTGTTAGACTGGTACAGAGACAACAATGTTGTTTTTGTACCAAAAGACGTCAACCCACCGAACACGCCGGAAGTTCGCCAGATTGAGAAGTTTGGGCCATCATGAAGGCAGGGCTGGTAGTGACTTTAGTGACTAAAATTTTGGAAATAGTGACCAAATAGTGACTTGTAAATACTTAATAAGTAACCATTTATATGATAACTTAGAAATTCAAATACGGTTTGATATTGAAATAAACTTTTTTATGTCATGGAATTTAAAATCAAATTTAATAAACTACTTTAATTTAATAGAATCTCATAACGGTGTCTCCTGTGACGAGCAGTTGAAGTGATTTGAATATTTACTTTTGCTTACGTTATACATGATGACTAGCAAATAGTAATTTCCACTTTTTTATGATTTTGAATGTGATTCCGCGTTCAAAATATTTAAATATTTGATATATCTAGGTAGATAACTTTGATAATTTGCTATGAACTTTTCACAGAATTTATTCAGAATGATCTCAAGAACTGTTTAAGAATAATTCCCCTTCTCTTAAACAAATAAGCTTTTACAAAAATAATATTGCATTCTTAAAATTCTTTGCAGAGCAATCAACAAAATTCTGGGAAATCGATTATTTTCGTAGTTGGAAATGCTAAAGATCAAATATCAGAATTTAAGTGGACAGTTTATACGAAAGATGAGGAGATGAAGGTAAAGAGTTGATAGTTCCGTTAGAGTACTGCAGTGTGAAAATTGTACATAGAGAGTAGAAAGCGAGCAAGGACAACTTTGAGGAAGGTACGAATAGGGTAGAGCATCTCCTTTACCAAGCTCATCCGTTAATGAATTCCTTGAAAGTTTGAAGAAAATCCGACTTGTCATGAGTTTTTGGCGACCATTTTTGTGCGTCTCACTTTTTTCGAGTACAGTCTTTACAAAGGACCTTCATACGTTGTATCGTACACGTCCGAAAAGTTGCTCGAAGGAGCCATCATCGGAATGTGTAGTTTGTAAAATTGGATTTGTAACAATTGGATTTTAAGAAATCCATTGTAATAAGACATAAATATTTACTTTAACGCCAATTTCTACAGTAAGACTACAATTCTGTACAGAGCTGGAAAAAGGGCCTATATGCTTTGATTGATTCTCTTCATCGACTTTCTCTTTCGTTAATAACTCAGCTGCAACAACATTCCCTGTTGTATTTGACGATTTGGACGATAGGATAAAAAACCTCCTTTATCATGCTATGTGGCAAAAATAGCACGAAAACTGTTTGCATAGCCGTGGTAATCAAAAGCCTTGGAAAGTCGATGAAGAGAATCGTTCAAAGCAGATAGGCCTTTTTCCAGCTCTGTATAGAATTGTTCTTTATTGTTCCCCGTCCAAACCTAAATCACGACAATACAAGAAAAATACGATGAAAATGGCTGTAACAGAGTTCGCAAATGTATATTCATTGCTTAGTAGAAGTTTTTCCATCTCCAGAATGGATACAATTTTACAACGTTAACCTTTATTGTCAACAGTAAATATTAAAATAAGACAACAGTTTCCACCGAAAAACTTGCTGCATTTTTTTCGTCGGGGAATACCTTTTAACGCTCTTAAGTACGGTAAAGGGTAAAAAGCATAATTTAACGAGAGCAATAATAATGCGACTGGAAGCGATCCTTTTCTCCCTCTTGCTCAGCTTTCAACATGCTCCTTCTCCTTTTGGGAAAGCTTTAAATGAATCTTTAATTTATATTTGATTTATGAATTTTAATGACGAATTGAGACGAATGAAACGGACGGTGGAAGACAAGTGGAGGAAAAAGGTTAACTTTAAACAGCTTCCACGACTGGATCGATCTGTACAAAAACACGCACATTACAAGTAAATTGGGGATCGCTCTAGTTCAAGGTTTCAACTTTTAATACTTGTTTCCGATGTCCCTACTAGCTAAAAAATAACTCGATGTGCTTGTGTGCTAAAGGAAACTCAGCTAAGTTTGATTGTATTGCTTGATTCGATCAGTTAATAAGTGAAGCGAAAACAACTAATACATTATTTCCTGGAGGCACCCCAAAAACCGCTGCTCAAATTCGCAGCACAAACTAAACGGTGCAACTTCAGGTGAGATGCCATGAAGACTTCGCAATAAATGCAATCGAAAGCGCTCGTTGTGAGAAGGATTTTCTTTTAACAAAAAACAACTTATTACTCTTACTAGCGAACATACACCAACCTAATACCGCAATGTACCATACAAAAAAAGAATAACAACAAAAAGTTAAATACGTTAAAGCTAGCTCTATAACACATTTCATCATCAGCTGAATCTTAAACTTGACTAACTTGTATACTGCCGTGCGTCTTCATGTCCAGCACTGATTTTTCCGAGTTGTTGTTATTGTTGATGTTGTTATTATTGTTGAGGCTCATCTCGTTGCCCGAATCGAACGACTCACCGACCTCCAGCGGGTTCGTTCCTCCATTTCGATCCACCAGCACGTTCAAACTATCCATACCGCCACCAACAACACCTCCTTTGTCATCGCCTCCCAGCATCACGCCTCCGTTGGACAGCGGAGCCAATTGCTTCACCCCGATCAGCTGCTCACTACCCCCCATCACGACACCCGTTGGCATACTGATAATATCAATACTACTGCTCTTCCGCTTGGCCACCGTCTGCGGGCTAGCCCGTTCCGCTTCGATGAGCTCTGCACTGCCTGGAGCTTGCATCTGCAGCGATTGCTTACCGACCAGCTTCTCTTTGGCCGCGGAGGATTTCTTGGCACCCCCACTGCCGTCATCCTTGTCTTTGTCCTTTTCTTTCAGCTTCATAAAGCCCACGAGCACCTTGTGAGTTTTGGAGTCTTTCACCTTGCCGGGACCGGCCCCCTGGGATGCCTTCGGTCCATCTCCGCTTTCACTTTCCTCGTTAATACTGCTGAGCTGGCCGTTCTCCTCCCTGGGGCCTTGGATGGGGATATCGTCTGTTTGGTGAAAGCATAGGGAAGATAAAGAAGGTGAAAATCTTAATTGGATTTGTCACGCGATAATCGCCAGTGTTTGCATAATATGGGTGTACTATCTAGCTCTCTTCAAGATAAGGACACTATTTCTCACCGCTGGGTTCATCACGCGCCAACACAAGGGAAGAGGTAAAAAAAATGGGTACGAAAATAAGGAAGAGGACATCCTGTTGTATGTAGGCGAGAGTATTTTAATGAGTTTCTGTTGGAATGTGTCGTGGCTCGTGGGAGTGGATTTGACTGTTGCACAAACAGGAAGATTTCTACACATAACTTGAAAATGGATACAGTACAGTATAGTATGTGGTTATTATACATTGCAATAAACCTAAAAAGCATTGACAACATAACTCAGCTTGAAGAATCTGGTTGGCTTCTAATTGATTCTACATGACCCTAGGATATAGATCTAGATAATCGTTAACATCAATATGGTATAATAACAGGGATCGTAGAGAGGTCTGCGAATTCTTGAAATCAATATACTCCGAGATGCTCTTTTGATTATGGAGCATAATATTTATTTTACAATTACTTAAGCAAGAATCAGCGGAGAACACTCAAATGCTGCAGGTCTTCATCAACCGGTGATGCTGGAACTCGAATGCTGAGCACCACCATCGATGTCAAAACCGATATTAACGGAAATTCGCAAGCAAGCGTTGAATTGGAACCCAGCAGGACATCGCAGCAGAGGCAGAACCAGGGTCGCCTCATGGTGGCGGAGCTGCAATAAAGAAATAAAGCAAGCCAACAGAGATCTGACCTGAGCCAAGGCAAAAGCAAACAATCGCCCCGAGTGGAAATCTTTGATATTAGAGTGAGTGAAACCACTAAATTTGGAGTCGCTACGGCAAACACACTTCATTACTAGCCTGTATCGCAATCGCACCAATCAATCCCCTGGAGCCACCTTCAAAATACTTGCGATCTTAATCGAAATCTCACTCAATTAGTGTTCAACTGTCTTCCATTTACCAGCATCCTCGTCGCCAAATGTAAACATTTCCACTTTCATCATCCAACTTGAAATGACTTCTACTGGGAAACAAAATCAAACGTAAATTGTTTTCCTTTCCTCGGAAAAGAAAGCATACCCTGCAGCAGCAGCAGCAGCTTTCTGGCATCAGCGTAGATATGGTTTAATTTCCTGAGTGCCAATGCACCCACCAGCGTCGTCGTCGGCTTGTAATATCATTTCTGATAGCGAAAGGAGACAAAACACGTGTAGCTATTCCCCGAGGCGAAACACAGAGTCTTTTACTATAGTGATATCAAGAGGATTTGCCATAGTCTCAAAACTAGTCACCACCGGCTGCTGCTGCTGCTAGTGGACCAGGCATGCATTAGGAAGCTATCGGGAGATTAAAAAGAATTGCGAAAACAGGACAGGATAGACGGTTTGCTAACGACGAACATCAACGACAATAACAATAAACGAAACAGCAAAACATTCAATGGGATTGATTTCCCACAAATCATAACACAATTATTCATCGAACGACTGTAAATGCGAACGTAAAGTCACGTAGCATAGGAAATAGGAAAAGCGTTCCACAATCAGGCAACAACAAGAGCGAAGCAATGGAATGTGGGCGGCCACGTCCGACGGCTTTCCGTTCATTCAGGCGCCACCAACAGTAAGAACTGCAGTTTGATCTTGGTTTATCAGGCATTTTATTCATTTTTAGGACACGTTCCACTTTTGTGCTGCAATAGGAGTGACCAGAGGTAAATAGATACTTATTGAGAAGGTAAATTCTTTTCACCGGAAAACGCAATAGGCAAAGGTAGTATATTTTTAGCACTACAGGAATTCGATCATGTCAATATTCAAGAAAAAAAATAGATCGTTTACTTGTTTACTACTAAATACAATTAGGAAATTATCGGTATTCTCAATTGATTCTAGGGTAGATCTTAGAATTATAACCTATGGGAATTCCATAGGCCATAACTTTGTAGTTTCGTAGAATCTCATCGAAGTGTTGCCCATTCTTAACCCTTCGTCTGTACCTTGGGTCAATTTGGCCATATTGCTTCCTTCTGGAAAGATGCTCAGGAATATAAGGTCTTCAAAACTATGGATAGTGTTAGATAGATATTTTCTCACTAGATGGCGCTAAAATGAAAATAATCATGTTGCGTCTTCTTAATTACACATTATATAACGCTATTTACACACGCAGAGAATTTTCATGTTTGAAACTAAAAATATAATTTTTGAATTCAACAATTCGATATTTTTATTTCAAAAATTAGTTATAGTTGAATCTACAATATTTTCTTATAAATTAAAAAAAAACACATATGTTTGAGTTTAAAAATATCGTCCACTAAAATAAAGTTTGTTGATAAATTATGTCAGTGTATGTGTCAAGCGCAGTCTTCAAAGTGTCCGCTGATATCGTTGAAACCTTGGAGATATTAAACAGTTTTGGACTATCCGCGGCGGTCATTGACTGTTTTATCGGTGAGTAGTTTCTGCTTTTAAATGATAAAAAAATGCTTAAATTATTACTTTGTTCCCAGCTAACGAGTACAATGCCGAAACATTACGGATCATCGAGCGTCGTGAAGTGGAAGAACTTATTCCGGTCCCCTTTTTGGCGGAGCGAACAAACTTTATCTTCGGACTGAACACCTGGAGAAATATGGGATATTATTTTCCCATAAAAAATATTAACATAGTTTATGATCATTATATATTTGGTTTATAATGCCGCTATTTTTCTCTTTCACAGGGCCTGCCCATTAGAGTGATGCAAAATTTGAAATTTTCACTTCACAATACTTAAACGATTCCAAATCGGATCCTGACTAACCTCTCAAAATTTGAACCCATTTGGTGAGAAACTGAGATGGCACAAACCATTTGAAGTTTGTATGGGAATTACTATGGTAAAACCAAGATTTTTGTTCATGTCTATTTAATAATTCACCATATCGGTCTGCTTCAAGAGCTTTCAATTGTACTTGTAGGAAATTTTCCCAGCTACGTTTTTAAAATTCAGAGGCTTCAAATGATTATTTTTTTGATTCTAAAATATGCATACTTTCCACAAATTTTATAAATTCTGAACTGAATTCTGAACTGAATGGAATTTTATAAATTCTGAACTGAATGGAATTTTATTATAATTTCTAAGGACCTAATTTCACGGGAGTTCTGGGAAAAAAATCTATGAAAAAAACATCAACTGAAATCTGCTTTCATGGTAGTTCTGATGAATTATAGACTCCATGTGAGTTGAATATGGAATGGACTGTTCTGAGGTCTTCAGAACTACTTGAAATTTCCCAAAATATTCCTGAAGTTGCTTTTAAGTTCTTTTTGTAGTTTGAATTGAATTGCCTTTACGTTCTTTTGTAGTTTGAGAAACTAGCCTGATTCTCGCAATACTTCTCATCAACTTTTTTAATTTCTCTAAACTTTTTCGGACTTCCTAAAGTTTCCACAATTTTCCTAACGATCATGAATCTTCTCTAAAGTGTTAAAAATTCACTGAATTTCTCGAAACTTTTATAAAATTTATGTAATTTGCCTACTCTGCAATATCTCTGCTCTGAGGATATCTGTTCTTTCTTGAAGTATTTTGTTGTTGTTTAGAGATTTATTAGCGAGATCAATATCTCGAAAGTCTCGAAACTTCTCTTAAGTTTGCAGTTCTTATGAAGCTTGTTGTACTACCATGAATTTAATTTAACTGTTCTAAAAATGTTTAACCTTGCCTGAACTTCTGAATTTAAGTGAAAACCTCAATAATTTTCTTAACATTAAAGGTCTCTGAAAATTTAGGAACTTCTTGAAATTTCCCGCTAATTTAGTGAAACTAATGAAACTGAACTCCCCTGAACTCCCTTTGTTTTTGGAGCATTACTAAACTTATTTGAGATGCTCCCGAAATGTCCATAAAAGTTCCAGAAGTTCTCGGATCTTCCCTTAAGTTCCATAGACTTTTATGAAGTTCTCGAAATGTTTCTGAAGATTTCTGTACTTCTGTGAAGTTTTCGAAGTTATTCTGAAATTTCAGGAACTTCTTTAAGCTTCCGCAGCGAAATAATTAATATAGTTCTACGATTTTCAATGAAGTTCTCAAGGTTTGTCTAAAGTTCAAATTATCGAAACTAATTCATAACTTCTTCAATAGTCTAGAGTTTCCTGATGTTTTTAAAACTGCCCAAGATATTTTTCAATTTCCTTAAAATCATCTAGACTGCCCTGAATATCTTAGTATGTTTTTAAAAGAACCCACCATTTTGCTGGAATTGATTTAATTGTCTTTAAGTTCTACAATTTTCCTTAAGTTTTATAAAGTTTATAAACGCTCACGGAACTTTGCCTTAAATCACCAATATTCCCTGGAAAGCCTGGACATCCCAGAAGTTTTCTATGCTTACCTTAATTTCTCTAAATTGATCAAATGTTCCGGTAAATTTCCTGAGATATATTTTTAAATTCCCTGAAGAATTCTAAAGTTTTCAGATCAATCATAGAATTCTCGGAATATACCATAATTCTAAGGAACTCCTTGCAAATTTCCTTAACTTAATGTGATATTTCTGATGTTATCTGATCGTCTTCGAAGTACTCGGAACTTCACTGAATGTAATAAAATAATCTAAAAATATCTAAATTTCTTGGAATTTCTTGAAAATATTGGTGCTTGCTAAAAGTTCTCGCCTTTTTTAATTAATGGAACTAAGTTGATGTTCTCTAATCAACTTAACTAAATTTTCGATTTTTTTAGATCTTGAAATTTCCATGATATGACACCCTTGAAATACTCTTACATTTTCCAGATTTCATATAATTTTTATTGCGTTCCAGAAATTTTCTCTGGGCAAACCGACATTTTCGGAAATTACGGTTTTTCCATTTTCTAAGAGTTTTTTTTTAACTGCCCTTTAATTCTCTGATCTGTCTTGATGTTCTCGGAGCTTCCCTAAAACTCTCAACT